TTCCACCAGTAGACTGAATGACAAAGCGTTTAGTTATGACATAACATACAGCAAACATGTGGCAAGGAAATTAAATATCTTCTTTATTTTATTATTCACAGATGTTCTCTAAAAAATGTTCAGAAATTTCAAAATACACACAAATACGTTATTCCGCCCTGGGACTTGCCAGAACGATATTATATCTAATACACCATAATAGATCTCTTAAATGTTGCTATATATCTTATATTTCTTTATTTATATTTAACGTCTTTTTAGGGGTTAGGTGTCAATTGGGACGAGAGTCCTGTTCCTTTCCCCTGTCACGATTTGTATCTGTCTTTATTTGTCTTTAATTAGTTTGTATCATGTATAAAGTGACAAATTCATTATATTATATTATTATTATTATTATATCACTACTCTATAGTTATATCAGAACAGACCGGTTTCACAGAGTCATATGGAAATAATTTGTGGTTTTCATTAGTCTACAATGTCTCCTTGTAGGGGACTGACATTTCAAACCTGGAACAAAACCATGTGAACCTAAATCACAGTGCTCGTGAAATAAAGAAATACCTGAGGCCCAAGAGATAGTTGTGATGGTAAAATTCATTATATTACAACATATTATCACAACGCAAGATTGTGCGAAGTCAATAAAATAAGAAGGTTAATTTGGAAACTCAATGCAGAAATATAAATAGACCTCATTATCTCTGTTTTTGTCGTGGTTTACGAAATGGTTCGCGTTTGACCGCAAACTCTCATCAACTTTCATTGACTTTGATCGAACTGGTTCAAATTTCAATGAGAGTTGATAAGAGTTTTCAGTTAACTCTTATCAACTCTCATGCAACTATTGTTCTTGTTTGACCGGGGCACGAGAGTTGAGAAAACTCTCACTTCTCAACTCTCATCAACTCTCATGCAACTCTTGTTCCCGTTTGACCGGGGCACGAGAGTTGAGAAAACTGTCATTTCTCAACTCTCATTAAGTCTCATTCTCGTTTGATCCTGACTTACAGTAAGTGACCTCGCAAAGGTAACGTTACCTACTAGAGATCGGTTGCATGAAGGTCGGACAGCGATATCAATTTTTTTAAGCTTCAAGGGCCCACAGTAATTCGTGTATGCTGTTGTGGTGGCAAAGTTAAATAAACTAAAATAAACTAATTGCCCGTTCAGTTGATATAACCCAGATAAAACTTTAGCATTCATAAATTAAAGTCTGCATCCGCAATTTTATAGCTTTTTAACTTTATGACAACGGTTGGAATAACCATCCGGTGGATAGCGGTATCCTGCCTTCGTACAACCGGCCCCAGAGAAAGAAAACCCTACTGGTAGGGTAATCCTACAATCTTGCACATAACCCTTGAGACAATTGCAGCCAATATTGCAAGTTGACTGCCTCTCTTTCAGTTCAATGTTGTATTAAAACAGCACCGAAACAATTTTTGGTAATTTACCATGATACAAGCTCTACATTGAGGTGGGCGAGCTGTGGCATGAAGTCTCAAGCAATAGACCTTATTCATAAATCGTGATGAGGCCTCGTATCCTAGGAAACGGGAACAAAAAGCGGGAAAATTGACAAAATGTTTTTTCTGCTGTCGGCTATGGCAGCTTTTTTTCGTAAATATTACGGCTTTTTTCAAAAATATATCTATAAAACTGAGCTTGAAAGTTGAAAAAAATACTTCTGAGAAAATATAACATGATATTTAAAGCAAAAGATGCTGGAGTCAATCGAAAAAGGAAACCTTTGACTTTGTATTATTGTCGTAGTTTGTATGGCCAAAACAAATAACCAACAAGGCTACGAAACGTCTATACAACACCAAAATCGTAAGAAATATGAAACAATTGTTGAAGAAATAAGATTACAACTCACTCAGGTAATGTAGCCTTCATTTTTTAAACTTGTAAGCTGCTTGCAGAATGTTATCGAGCCACAGTCATTAGTTCATATTTTTCCGTACGAATCAATAACATTTGACGTTCTCTTGTGATTTTTGACTGTTATTTTCTTTCATATTTATGTCAAATTCGAAAAATTATACTTCCATTCCATAGTTGTCTTGATTCTTCACGGAATAAACCTTTATATTGGCGTTAAAATCTCAGTAAAATACTGTTTTTCGCTTCTGGATAAACACCATCGCTACGTTGTCATTTTTTCCACACAAAAACGGGAGAAAAAACGGTCGCTTTTATAATATACTCGTTTGCCGCTTTCGTTGTAGGCACAAAGTCTTAAAATACACACAAAAATCGTTATAAATCGCAAAAAGCAACAAGAAATAAGCCGTTAAAGTCGACACAATAGCATCTGAATTTGGCTTGTCAAGCAGTTTTCGCTTGTTTTCCCGCGTTTTGTTCATCTGAATCCTAGGATACGAGGCCTCGTCACGATTTATGAATAAGGTCTATTGTTCGACACTTTTAATAAATAGTGTTTGTTACTTTGTTCAAAACCTAAATACGTTTCCTTAAATCTTACAGTTATATTTTGGATATAAATATATAAAATACATTAACTAATAGAGAGTAAAATTTTACGTCTCTGTAGTATAGTTACATAATTTAAAACGGCAATGTACGAACAAGACAGCAATATACAAACGGGACTATGTTTTAAATATTAGAACACTTTAGGGAAAAAACGACCATGAATTATTTTAGATTAAAGTTTAGACCTTGGAATCCTAGTGAAAGATACAGGCGTAAAATTGCGCGAGAAACTGTTTGTTGTTGTTAATAACCTCTGGTAATCTAATTAACAAAACTTGCTTTGATTGGCTACTATTTACCGGATATTCAATTATCTCAAAGGGGGCGTATTGAAAAAATATCAATAAAAGTAGCAGGCTCTATATAATAGAGCCTGTGAGCAGGCTACCTCCAGCTTTATTGCGATCTTTGCGGATGCAGGTATAGCCTGGGAGGTCAATTAAAGAGTCGGGATCAAATAGGTCTAATTTAGTTTCATTAATTGCTAGAACATCAAAAATACCATCTTTCATAAATACTTGTAATTCATCAATGTGCTTTGAAAGACTATTTATATTTAGCGATCCAATTTTAAATCCCCTAATTTTGGAAAGGTCATGAGTTTCATCGTGTAAAATCGAACAAGATGTTGAATTATGATTGGTTGAATTATGACTGGCTGAATTATGATTCGTCAAGTTATATGGTAAATGATCTGCATTGACAACATTACATCAATAGGTGATGTAATTTCTAAAATTACTAGCGAGGGTTTGGATACCTCTTGGATTTAGGTGTAACCCACCTGTGTTTAAATATTGTTCTCGGATATTGTCATTATTTATAAAATCAAAGTTATTTTGTTCACAATAAGTTTTTAATATATTATTTACCTCCAAGATCTTTGAATTTAGTGCTGGGTTGTCACTTCTTCTGATCACGGAGGATATGGCTATATCCACATTTGGCAGCTCTGTTTTGATGCCATTGACAAGCTTATCCAAGTTAGATGTTTATGGCGTTGGATACGTTCGGCATAAACATTCAACTTGGATGGTTATGCCGTTGACTGTCCTCGTCATAATCACTCAACTTGGATGCTTATGCCGTTGACTTTCTTCTCCATAACGATTTAACTTGGATGTTTGGTGTGTTGAGTATGTTCATCATAAACATTTGGTTAAAATAGGTAGTACTATACCTTTTGTTTTCATCCTGAAAAAATAATTTTGGAGAGAAAAAATAATTAATTTCCAAATATTTCTTGGTGCTAAAATATAAATATAAATCAAAGCTTTACTTGTTCTTAAAGAAGATCCGGACAGGGTTTGCGTTGTTGTTATGGACAAACAGGGTTATCGCGGGAAGGCACTTTCACTGTTGAATGACAGAAATACGTATTCTATTCTCAAGTCTGATCCTACTGGAAAGACTCAAAGAGGTTTAAACGCCAAGTTACTTCTTTTGAAGAAATCCAATATTATCAGCAAGGCTACATATGAAAAGTTATACAGCAGTGATGGACTATCTTCGCGTTTCTATGACTTACCGAAAATCTATAAACCGGAAATTCCATTGAGACCTATTGTGTCCTTTGTGAATTCTCCTACAGATGGAGTTTCAAGTTTTTTGGCGAAAATTTTGTTCCGTGTGGTGGGAAATACCGAAAACACTGTCAAAAATTCCTGTCATTTTGCAGAATTTGTAAGAGGTAAAACTCTTAAAGCAGATCAAGTGTTGGTATCATTTGATGTCGTTTCCTTGTTTACAAATATCCCAGTTGATCTTGCCATCAAGGTTGCGGCAAAAAGACTAAGACAGGATGCCACTTTGTTACAAAGAACATCCTTGCCTGTAGAAGATATTATTGATCTTCTGTCTTTTTGTCTCAACGCCACGTACTTTGTGTTTGAGGGCTGTTATTATCAACAGGTTTTTGGAACAGCGATGAGGTCACCAGTTTCGGCAGTAATTGCTAATTTAGTAATGGAAGATGTCGAACAAAGAGCTTTAGCCTCTGTTCCGGTGTCCCTATCGTTTTGGAAACGTTTCGTCGATGATGTCATCTCTGCGGTTTCTACAAATGAGATCGATATTCTGCTGCAACATCTAAATTCTATTGAGCCGTCCATCCAATTCACGGTAGAACGCGAGATAAATGGACATTTAGCTTTTTTAGATTTGCACTGAAAAAATCCATTTTCGTTTTGAGTTATTTTAACACATAAATTTGCGTAAAATGCAATGTTTACTCAGTTTAAGAGTATTTTTACTCGAATATGCTGAGTATATATAACTTCAAACTTAAACACCTGAGTAAAATATTTTGAGTAAACCACTATCGTTTACGCAGTTATAATCGGTAACATTACTCAGTCATTTGAGCACGTTACTTCATATTTACTCGTTATTCTCGAGTAGAATCGATGTTTTACTCTAACATATTGAGTTAATATGCTTTCCAAACTGATCGATTTACTCACTGAAGCTGAGCAAAGATGCGGAATCTACTCAATGTGAGTAGAATTTACTGATCACTCATGGTTTGAGTATTTTTACACCGGTAAATGTTTGAGTAAGAAATATCGAGTAAACACCATCAGCTACACAAATGTGATGAGTAAATTTACTCAAAGTGTAAATTTACTCAAAGTCCGTACCAAACAGTTTCCTCAGTACTCAAAACTTGTGAGTAAATTGACTACAATACTCTTCAGATGAGTCAACTCAGTATCAGAACGAAACGTTTACTCACAAATAGCAGGACAAATAGCACCGATCAAAGATCGGCAAGAAATTGCTTATGTGATCGGCGGACTGAAAGCAGGGAAAGTCAATAAGTCATGGCTGCCGATCATCATGATCGGGAACTTTGGGAACGTTATTTCAAGTCCTGATTCCTGAATAGAGTAAACGTCATCTATATTCGTCGCATGATAACAACATTGTCAGAAATAGAAAAGCACGAGCTGACGAGGTCATGCACACTGCACAGTAAATATGGTCATATATTTCAGTGTTGCTTATTCTGTGATATTACGCTGCGATCAGAACACACGCAGCGATAGTCTTAATCCCTGCTTTGTTTGCGTCTTGAAATGTGAAACGAAAGTGACGTAAAACATATCTGACGACGCGGTAAGTTCAAATTTCAGTGCCTCGTGGCTGCTTTGGTGGACATATATTATAATTATTCATCTGTACTGCGAGGAATTTCATGGCAAAAAGCATCAACTTCTTCTTCTTTTATATCGAAGAGGGTAAATAGTGTAAGGGGCATGAAGACTTGGCTTACAGAGATGGGTTTGGGAGATTGTTGTCTCTCGGTTGAAGGTATATTTGCAAATTTATTTCATGTAGACGTTTGGACAAATAAACGGCAACTGAGTATGGTTTACCGCGCTTCATTCGCATTTGATTCACTAGTTTAAACTTTGTCGCGTCATGATTGTCTACTTTAGAATTTTTGAAGCTTCCAACGGGCGTTTATAACAGAAGCGAACTAAAGACGAAAAACGCATTTGGCATCACAAAAAGCGTTAAGATTGAGCGCTGTTAGCCGCTGTGGTATTGTAGCACAATGCGCGCCGCCCTCCATATGGACGTTGGCAGTTGTATGTTTGCCTAAATATAAGCTATATTGATTGATTATATTTTCTTTACTCACAACTCTACATGTTTACTTAGGCTTAACTCTTAAGACAAATATGTGCATGTCTGTAACTGTATTTATAAGAAGGGAAAACGAATTTAACTACAGAAAATTCAAACCATCGGCAAGGTGTAATACGATACGTTTGCATTGCCATTGCGCCTATTTTAAAGGTTTGTGACAGCCTGTCTGTTCTATGTGCACATGTGTACTCTTTCTAAAGTCTAACGCCAGTAAATTACGTTTTATAAAATGCTTTCATGTGTCATATACTGCTAGATAAACAAAATTGCTGACCACGGTGCCAGTGTAATTTATTTGCTAAATAATCTAAAAGTCTATATATATTGTTTGCGTGATTCAATTTGGCTCGGAATTTGGCCCGACGCGCCAGTCACTGCCTTCAATTTGAGCTTGCAATCTGCCAATCCACAAGATAGAAGATTAAAGAAAATCATATAGAAAAAACTATTGTAAGAGCAATTAGTAATTAATAGAGTACATGCATGTATGGCACATAAAGCTATTGTCCTTAAAGCCTTTCAGCCCGTTCTTTCTTAATTAATATAGAAAACCAATGAAATAGATGAAGATGAATCCATTGCTTTAACAGAAAGAGAAGACGTTCAGGACGAACGTCTTATACTTGTCGTAGGTCATAAAATGAAATTTTTTGAAGGCTCTGGTGCGGGATTGTAGAACCATTAGCCTGCGAGCAGGCTCTCATCTTAGAGCCTGATCGCAGGCTAAATTCCATATTTATTTTAAATTAAAGGAGGCTCCCTACAGTTGCGTGCGGGATGTTCGCGGGACCAGTACGTGAACTATCCCACGCAACCGCATGATCAAAACAAAACAATTTTTTTTTAAAAGAAACCTATTTCTGAAAGGTTTCTAATGGGAAAAAGCGTTGAATAATACTTCGTTTTGAGTGCCAAATTACTTGCGAGTCTATACAGCAATTCTACATAATGATACGAATACCACTAGACCAAAAATAGCTACGAAACAATGTTTTCTAATGTTTTTAAAATATACATTGTCAACTGTAAAACATTTGCAAAATTGCATACAAACGTTTCATAGTAAAAAGTTGTTTACTTCTCAAGAAAACATTCACGTTTTTAGTCGTGTTTCTACAAGATTAAAGTGATTATATGTAAACAGAAAAATATTTCAGTTTCATAGCCTAATTGTTCATTTTTAGCAAAAAGTAAAAACCAAACGTGAAACAAAAAA